TAGCTAATTTTAATTTTGGGGTCACTCACCGGGCACCCTGTGTACATGCATGCCTTTTGACGAGCGTCTCCCCTGGAACACGATCATACGCTCCAAATCGTTGAAAATCGTCTCAAAAAGTATTTTCACGATAAAATAATACAAACGGCCTTGCTCTGCACATGCACATGCACATGCCCTAGCGAGAATAGGCCGCACTGCCACTGCCACCTCAAACTGTAAGCTAGTGTATTTTGCAGGCTTATAAACATAATATTTTCATCGTCAAGCAGCGTGTGGCTTTTGTCAATTTACGAATCGCGTGGGTGACATTTTAACGTAAAATTGTATTTGAAATATATACCTATGTCAAAAATTGAGCTACGTTGACATTTTATCACACACAGTAGCCCAGTTTTTAGTGCTTCATGCAAAGAGACCAGGAAGCGCAGACACAATGACATGACTCAGGCAACAGAAGTAGCCCGGATGTTGAATGAACTAACACCGAACAGCGGACCTGGCAGCATGTAGGAAAGCGACCGCATTTTAGTTTGCCGGTCATGACTTTTTTAAAAAGCATAAATAGTGATGAGGACTGAGAAGAAATATTTCTTGTTTTTGGACAGTTTTGCAAAATGCCACATGGCGCCAACCGGTAAACTTCAGGTCGGTGGGGCAATGTATTGCAAGATGGTTCTCTCGGTCCTCTGGGTGGTTGCCCTGGATGAGTTTTACTGTGTAAAGGAAGCTATCGTTAGGCTTATCATAATATACTTTGCTACTAGACTAGGCTCAAAATATCTGCTTTTGCTTAATATTCCTTTTATTATATTTCAAATGTCACCGTTTTCCCTGATGTAGTTATTTCCATACATGTATGCCTCCCGTAATAAAGAAAGTAGACGATGATGTTATTCATAGAATAACAGAAAGCGAAAAATGGAACGAAATGGACAAAATTGAACGACATGAAACGAAATATTTATGTAGGAAAGGTGTTCGTTCGTTCGACGTTAGTGTCCGCTCAACATCTAAAGGGCAAACTTGATGATATACTTAGAACCGCTACTTTTTATAAGATCGATGAGGGTACGTTAAGAAGTGACCGCAACGTTATAAGATCTATCACGTTACGTCGGGAATAAAGTGAGCTTTGAGTTGAGTAGTCACTGTGCCGACTTGTTTCTTTGTGGTCTCCGTTATCTTAGGAGTATGCACACGGGGAGGAATTTTATCACCAGCTGCCTCTCTTACTTACATACAACTACTACAATGAAATTAAATAGATAGCGGAACATAAGGAACGGAGCCGTTTTGACACAGAAGTGAGTGGTAAATAAATAATGTGACGTGTAAGTTATAACTAATGGTGGGCCAGAGCATCCACAAGGCCCCGTCCCTCAACCTTGCCGACCGCCTCTACTTCCTGTAGGTCACAGGTCACGACCCTGGGCAAGGGTCGGGGGTCAGGTCGAAAGTCAGATGCCCAGGCAGCTTATGTTCCTGTTCGCGTTGTTTTGTAGGCAGTTTAGTAGAGTTAGGATGGTCCGTTGACCACTAGTAATCATGGTATTCTTGCGAAAGAGACGTCTGTGCTTATTACTAGAGAAGGCTATGCAGAAAAGTTAACTAACAAGGGGAAGCTTGTCGATGACAGTTCAAACTTGATATGAAGGAGAGTTGAAGCCACAGTATTGAAGAGATGACATCAAAGGTGCAAAGGTCCCTTTTGGCACAACATACTTAAATATCTCCCCTTGATTCCAAATTCCTAGTGCCTTAATAGTGACTGGTGTTAGCTTTTTTTCTTCTTTAGTTCACTCTTAAATTTGTCTCAAGTTAACATTCCCGCACCTTTAGGTGTTTGTTCTTCTGATGTGACCAGAGAAAAAGCTTCATTTAAAGTGTTTTCATCACAGAATGAATAACCAGCAGGCAAAACTTCTATGCAGTTTTCAGTCACTGTTAGTCTCTTCCATAAGACGAAACAAGGTTGGGTAAAGCCCTTTTTGTTTGCAACAAGACAATTGGCAGGAACCAAGACACTGCACTTCTTTTGGATTTGATAGCTCATTTCTTTGTTAACTTTCTCCCTGCTGCCTAACCCTATAACCAATCCAAGTTTGGTGCCAAAGTCACCTTAGAAGGCTGAAGATTCAAGAAGTATTATTGCAAAGACATGATTTTGATTTAATTTGCCACAAGCCTTTAAAAGATTATTGTTAGAGTTGGTGAGCGTCTTAAGTTTTAAGAGATTTGAACAAGAAAGAGTCTCAAAAAAACTTTGCAAAAGTACAGACTGCAGATTATTTAATGCCTTGATAGGGCATGCCCAACATTTTTGTTGCTTTTGTTTGTCCCCGTCAACCAGTTCACCCATTATTGTTTTTTGTTTTTCTTTTGTTAGACAGAAGATATGCATAACTAGGCTCACTAATTATTCTTGATTTAGCCAAACCTTTTCAATCCAAAAGCAGTTACTTACTACTTAACAGAATTATATATTGAACACCAATGATACCTAGCAGTTTACTGGTTACACAAGTGGGACTTAGATTTACTGAATTAGTCACTTCTTTCTTAATAGGTAATGTTCTTTTGAACCAACAAACCTGATGAAGGCAGCTAATTTGTTGCCAAAACCTTGGCATGTGAAAAACTGCTTGTGTCAGAAAAACAACATCAACCCTCTTTCGTGTTGCACTTCCTTACCTTTGTTTGACCGCATCTCAGCGTCTCTGGTTCGTCACAGCGGAAGGAGTGGTAGTTGATCTCGTTCCCGTGTCGGTGGTACGACCAGCACTCGATGGAATCCGCGGAGAGAACCTTCCAGTAGTAGTCTCCGTGTCGCAGAGAAGGCCAGGCAGCAGCCAGAGTGTCCCGGGAACGAGTGAAGTCTTGATCTGGGGCTGTCCAGAAGTGGTTTGTGGCCAGTGAGATGCCGCTGAAAAAGTAGGAAAAGAAATTAAGTAAATGCTATTCATTGTGCAAAAGATAAATCTGTACTTTCTTCTACACCTAGGAAAACATTTGATGTGTTTCAATCCAGAAATAAGGTATAATTACTAAAAAATGATTCAGAAGTACTTGTAGTTCAAAAAGAAATGCTGCATGCCTATAATTGGCTGTCACTCTCATATACCAAATATGATCATAGAGAACAGTGTACATGCAAAGCATACAACCCCCCCCCCTGTGGGGACAAAATGGTACAGTCCATTTTTTTAATCAGAACATAAACGACACAAGGTCAACCAGGCTTCAAGCAGAGTAATATCATATATCATTCATCCACAGTTAAGGCACTGGAGTACTTAGAACTTCCATCAAATGTGTAACTCTAACATATAGTACTACTGTATGTACAACAGGTTCTATGAGGTTTCACTTTTAGCACCAAGGACAGGTGCCATAGCTGATATAAAAAATTGCTGCAGTGTCTTTATTTTTGGGCCAAATGACCTGAAATTTGGCAGGGAGGCAGAGTGGGCAAATACCTCCAGATGTATTTCTTTATTCTTGTGAGGCAGGCCTTCAAAATTGTTTTATTTAGTTTTTTATATATAGTATATATATAGACAAATATAGTATGTAGTGCCAAGCTATCCTCATGCCAAATTTCAGGCCAATCAGATGTTTTACCTGAAAATGGCCTAAAAACCCAAATAGAAACAATTTAAAGGCATATTTCCATAAAACTGAATAATGCACCTAAGGGTATTTGTCCACTCTACCTCCACACCAAATTTCAGCTCATTTGACACAAAAATGAAGAAGCCACAGCAATTTGTTATATTAGCAATGGCACCTGTCCTTGGTGCTGAATGTGCAACCTGTTGTGCATACAGTACTATATATGCTAGAGAAACACATTTCATGGAAGTTCTAAGTACCCCAGTGCCTAAACTGTGAATGGATGATATATGTAAATGATGTTGCTCTACTTGAAGCATGGTTGAGACTGTGTTGTTTATTGTTGTTGTTTATTTTGGACTGTACCATTGTGTCCCCACCGAAGGGGGGTTTGTACTACAGGCTGTACCTGTTCCTGTACTGCACAGTGTCAGTGAGCTGTTGTTATGATGATCATCATTCAAGTAATCAATATTTCCTATCTCACTATGTGGTGTTGATGAAGTCATAACAATTAATACCTACAAGTGTATCAAACTTATCTGTCATAAAATAGATACTGTGTGTGCTGTAAAGATGTGAAATAGCTTTGCTTATGTCTCATTAGATGTCAAGGAAAGATAGGGCCAACACCATCTAGGTGTCACACTAATCTCCAACTACAATCATGTAGTTGGAGATTAGTGTGAATTTTCAGTACCTTTGTAGTTGAAAGAAGGGCCCTGTTTGTTGCCCGGACGACGATGTAAAACAGCGCCCCCTGTGCCAGGTTTGGGTGGTACTTTGTGGATGTGTAGGGATGGATGTCTGGAGAGACTGTAGCTGACTTTGTACTCCTGAGGCCAACCTCATAGTCAGCTATTCCGCTTTCAGCATCCCAACCCTCCCACTGAACATGTAGCTGCATGTGAATGTAGAAGGAAAAAAAAGAAATAAGGACAACCTTGTGACTGTTACAGAAACAAACACATGAATGTACAGTCTCAGCAGTATATGAACTCATCATAGACAGAACAAATTCTATACTGGATGAACAAAGGAGATTAATTCCACATCAGGACATTTTGAGTGGCATTCATCTGTTGGTTGTTAATCCACTGTGTCTAGGACACGGTATTAGAAGGCAGAGCCAATCCCTCTCTTCCCACTGCCTTTTACTAGTCCTCCCCCACAGAAGTCAGGTACCCATTTTACAGTTGGTTAGTTAGGAAAGTCCTGTACAGTGTCTTTCACAAGGACAGAATGTCTTGCCAGGAATCACTTCTTGATCTTAGGAAGCTGCTTGAACCAAAGTGCCCTTGAAGTGAGTAGTGTGCCAAATATTTTTAAGCCAAAGTACTCACGTGGTTCTCCATAGGTAGGTAGCCCATATCAGGGAGAGGACCATGAGAGCTCAAAACCCAGCACTTCCAGACACAGGTACTGCCGGAGTACCACAGCTAGCGAGGCGACAAGCCTCAGCCCAACTCCAGCAAGCCCGGGATGCCGTTCAGCGGGCCAGGAATCATCCTCCCCAGGCCGCCCCGGCGCACCCGCCTCAAGCAGCCCCTGCTCAGCCACATCAGGCTCCGGCGCAGCCTCCACAGGCCGCCCCGGCGCAGCCACTACAGGCCGCCCCTGTCCAGCCACCTCAGGCCCCGGCGCAGCCTCCACAGGCCGCCCCGGCGCAGCCACTACAGGCCGCCCATGTCCAGCCTCGTGAGGCCCAGGCGCAGCCACCTCCCCTGGTAGCCCCCGTACAGCAGCCCATCCAGGACGCCCCTGGACAGCGAGCGGCCCCGGAAGGACAGCAGCAGGCAGTTGTACCAAACTGGCAGGTAAATGGTTTCAGTGTTTCGTTTTTCACACCAGTGGTGGTATTTTAATTTTAAATAGTTTTCTCGCTTAGCCATGTGCAAAGTATCTTCACGGCCTCGGACGAGTTCTTTTATACGTAGTTGTCTTTTTAATTAGTTTTTTTTTCGAATTCTGTTGTTGTCATTTGATTTTGACTAGTCGGTACTTTTTTTCTTCTTTTCATCTCGAGCTACAGATTTCTTTAGTTTTGTATTTGACGGATGTCTGTCTTGGACGGTGCACACAGTTAGTTCTTAGGTTATTTTGAATTTCAATCGTCTCACACGTGGCGAGTGTTCTTTTGAACGGTGCGCACGAGGTGTATGGTTTTGAATCTCAATAGCTCGACACGTGGCGGGTGTTTCTCTTAAACAACGCGCACGTCATATGTGGTATGTCGTGTTCAATGGTCCTGAACCACTATTACGTCACAGTTTGTTTACCGTAATGAATGCCGGGACATATTATCTATGTTTACTGTATACTTTACAGTGGGTAGTTTGGTGTGGTAGTTCATGTGTTTCTGCAGCGTTGGTGTTAAGGCTGATAATAAACAAAGATCATTTCAAGCCTTAAAAGTCTGGTGTGTGGACGTGTGTTTGATTTATGCTGCTTTTTGTAACATGCCTTTGAAAATTTGAAATGATCTTTATTCTTCAACTGACCGATCTAGAATGTTCTTTAGAACGGTAAACAAACTGTGACGTAATAATGCAATAGGTCCATTGTCTCGCACGTAGCGAGGTTCTTTTGATGCACACACTTAACGTTTCTAATTTTATGTTCTATTAGTGTTACATGTGGCGGGTGTTCTTTGAACAGCGTACACTATTCTTTTTGTACGTTTTTTTTCAATCGTCGTGAATCTGAACGGCGCGCACAATCACTGTGCTAAAGGGGGTGATTTCCGGACATTTCTATGTCTGTATTCGCCCGGATTGGGGACGTTTCCGGACATATCCGGGCAATATCCGGAAGAAACGTGGCATCACTCCCTTACGTGTTAGGATCATTTCCTAAGTCCGGAATGGGACCATAATACTACTCGACATATCCGGATTACAGGTAATGAAACGTTTTCGGACTCAAAATTTGGAAGAAACGTGGCATCACTCCCTTACGTGTTAGGATCATTTCCGGAGTCGAGAATGGTACGGAATGGGACCATATAATAATAATAATACTCAATATTGCATTACTGGGGATCCGGATATGAGAAATAGTACTATGGTCCCATTCTTGACTCCGGAAATGATCCTAACACGCAAGGGAGTTTCTTCCGAGTTTTGAGTCCGAAAACGTTTCATTACCTGGAATCCAGATATGTCGAGATATTTTCGGACTCGTCTGAGGCAAACACGTTCCGAATATTTCATGTTTTTTTTACCGCACCGCATTCGGGGCTATTACGGCTCAGAAATGTCGCATATGCAGTTTAGTTCCGGAGTATCCGGATTCCAAATAATGGAACGTTTTCGGGCTCTTTAAGACCAAGCACGTTCCGAATATTTCGTGTTTTCTGACCGCGCTCGGAGCTACTACACCCCGAAAACGTTGCATATACTAAGGATATTCAGAAACAAATGTTTAAGTATGACACGCCAAAGACATAGGGTAGAGCAACAGAGCTTGATAAAATATTAGTTAAGTCCATACAAATCAATATGAACAACATATTTAGATATAGTGTCATCTTCCTTACGACATGTCCTCTACCTTTAAAGTACTTGTACTCAGGACCTTTCACTTGAAAAATAATCACTTCCCTGCCCCTAAAAATCACTGCCATACTGTCCTATCCTATACGTAACACATTCTCTAAAAACAATCACTGTCCAGCCAAGGAAAATCTGATTTTAACCTCTTTGGTCCAACATTCTCTAAAAAAAAAAACAATCACTGCACTTAAAAGTCATTTCAATTTCTGCATTTTCATCTGATCTTGGGCCGGATTCACTCGCTGTCTGTTTCGTTTGTAGTACAATGTATTTGTCATTTGTCCTGCATCGTACATCAGTTTCTTCTGCCTGGTGGTCCTGTGTTGTTTCCTCGTCCAGTTGACTCTCCTGTGACTCCTCAGAAATCCAAACGCACTCCTCTGGAGCCCGCCCAGCGAGAGGCTGTTAGTGAACTCCTCAGTCTCCTCCGAGAGAAGGATAGCAATATTAAACGGGTAGAACGATAGTTAACATCTTTCTCCGCCAGGGTCACCATCTCATAATCCATCGTCTCTGTCTCCTTGTTCCACATCAGCACAGCCTTTGAATTGCGCCCCTGAGGTCCTGAACCTTCAGGGAGGTCTTTCCCAAACTTCAAGCCGTCGCTTCTCACCTACGAAACAAAAGAAACAAGACTCAGTGCTTAAAAATGACGTTTCAGCTAGAGGCGCTTGTAAATTTATTAGATGTCTGACCTATGCAAGATTCCCATATTTGAAAAAAATTAACGTCACTTCGCATCAGTACCATGTACCAAGCTCCTCAGTAGCCTATATTCCATACTGTTGGCAGGCCTAGGGTCAGAATGGAAACTCCATGGCCCAATACCATTTTACCACCAAGTTGACCAACACCTCAGACTCTGAGAAACCAAGGAGGTTTTTGTAGAAACGCACCATATTTTTTCCAGCAAGATAAGTAGTCTGGCAAAGGCTAGTGGTAATGTAAATTTGTCTTTGACGTGAATACGCTAATAAACAAACAAGTATCAGGGTGTTGTAATGCAAAACAAGTCCCGGGGAAACTGCGCCTTGTGTTGCCCCCTGGTGCTTTTGCATATGGGGACAACATGCGAACTTCCGATCAAGAGATCTAGAATGATTAGAGAGGCCGTGTGCTTTGGCCTTTTGAAGAAATACAAATTATGTATCATTTGTTTCCCTTGTTGACTATTCATCTCTAAGCACTAGTCTCTACCAGACTCCTTTGCAGGCTTTTAAATAGTAGAAATCGGCCCAAAAAGTAATTGGCCAGGGGAGTTAGCTCAGCCCGGCCATAGAGGGAACAGTTGTTGCAGGCCTACTGTTCCCTTTATGGCCAGCTAACTCTCCTGGGTAACTCTGATCATGCACTTATATCTGCTGAGATTTCCTTGAACTGTAAGGAAGCTCGAGAATCACCCTATCACAGAACATGCTACCGTTACAACAGCGCTGACTGGGATAGCTTCCGTGACTTACTTAGAGACATTCCTTGGTCCGAAGTATTTTCCAAAGAGGCGGAAGCCTGCGCTGAAGAGGTTACCTCTTGGCTGCAGGCTGGCATTGATGCATTCGTGCCATCTAGAAAATATCAGATAAAGCCTCACTCATCCCCATGGTTCTCCCCTGCTTGTGCAGCAGCCATTGCACATCGCAATCATTACTTCCACCAATTTTAACGCGATCAATCCAACGCAAATAAACTGCTCTTTACCAAAGCCCGCAACCACTGTAAATCTGTCATTCGTAAAGCTAAATCCGAGTACCAACAAAAAACGCAAGATCGCGTCGCATCACAACAAGTTGGCTCTCGAGACTTTTGGCGCATTATTAATAGTATTCGGAGTGATGGGAAGTCTTCAATACCTCCCCTTTTCAACGTGCCCGAAGTTATTACATCCTCCAAAGATAAAGCCGAGCTGTTTGCTGAGCTCTTTAGCAGGAACTCAACTCTCGATGACGCTGGTCATACACCACCAGAAATTCTTACAAGAACTGAGCGTTGTCTAGAGAACTGTTCAATAACTACCTCCAAAGTCTCCACAATAATCGCCAATCTCGATCCTTCTAAATCCACCGGCCCTGATGGCATTCCTGTCATTGTACTGCAAAAGTGTTCACCTGAACTATCACCAGTTCTTGCTAAACTCTATCGGAAATGTATGACAGAATCCTCCTTCCCGTCCACCTGGAAATTTCTATCAGTTATTCCTGTGTTCAAAAATGCCGGTGAAAGATCTAGTCCTAGTAATTACAGACCCATAAGCATCTTACCAGTCATCAGCAAAGTTTTCGAAACTTTGCTCAACAATGCATTGATGAAGCATCTTGAGTCCGCCGGTCTGCTCGCTGACTCTCAGTACGGTTTTCGATCTGGTAGGTCAACGGCTGATCTTCTCACTGTCATCTCTGAGAAGGTGTATAGGGCTCTCAATGCCTGTGGAGAATCTAGACTTGTTGCCCTTGACATTTCCAAGGCCTTTGATAAGGTCTGGCACGCTGGACTTATCAGAAAACTAGAAGCCTATGGCATAAGGGGCCCTATGGCCAACATTCTCTCGTCCTTTCTATCGGAGACAAAGTTGAAAGTCGTTCTTGATGGTCAGTCTTCTACATCCTAATCAATCAACGCCGGTGTTCCTCAAGGCTCAGTTCTTGCCCCAACACTATTTTTAATATTTATTAACGACCTGCCCGACCACATTCTATGCCAACTTGCTGTCTATGCGGACGATTCCACCCTTTACTCCAACTCTAAAGGTCCCGGTTCCATACTGGATAAGACAGAAATGGCAGCTGGGTTGGAAAATGATCTGCGCTCTGTCGTTGAATGGGGAGACAATTGGTTAGTCACTTTCAACGCCCAAAAAACAAAACTCCTCTCCATCAACAGATACCGGGAACCTTTTCTTCCACCTATATCCATGAATGGCAACGAGTTGCGGGAGAATGAGTCTCCGTCTCCTCGGTCTTATTCTCTCCAAGGATTTGTCCTGGAGATACTACATCGAATCCATAGCCAAATCAGCAGCTATGAAAGTAGGCTCACTGCTTCGAGCCAGAAACTACCTTACTCCTGCAAGTATTCTGTATCTGTACAAATCCACCATCCGTCCTTACATGGAGTATTGCTCGCATCTCTGGGCTGGTGCCCCAAAAGACTGCCTACATATTTTAGACCGCATTCAAAGGAGAATCTGTGTTGCCATCGGCCATTCTCTGGCCGCAAAGCTGGATTCCCTCTCACACAGACGCAATGTCGCATCTCTATCCCTCTTCTACAGATACTTTCACGGTCGATGCTCAGGAGGACTTGCACTTCTTGTTCCTCCACTCAGAACCTTTCAGCGTGCCACAAGGTTCTCTTCCAGTTCTCATCAATACACCGTTAACATACCTGTCTCCAAGTCATATTACAACACCAGCTTCTTTCCCCGGACTGCAAAATTATGGAACTCTCTTCCAAACAGCTGCTTTCCGTCCGATTACAATCTACAAAGCTTCAAAACAAAGGTTCACCGCCATCTCATGACATAGCTACAATTGCTCCCCTAAGTACCTCTAGCTCTTTGCCTAGAAGTGGCCAAATATAATTGGCCTTGCTTTGAGCGATACCGTTAAAAAAATGTTTGATAATGGAAAGGGTGGTATACAGCTTTTAACTTCTTAATGAATAGACGTTATATCTTGAAGCTTCAAATAATGATGAGCTTCAAAGAAGCTTAAAAAAAGATACTGTAATTTTTTTTTTACTTTTAAGGATGATATAAAAATTATTAAACATTAGATAACTGGTGAAGGGCGTACGTAAACCCCGTAAAACAATCACAAACAAATGCATGTACAAAATGTCTGCAGAAAAGTTTTAGCTTCTCAAGGTTACAGACCCCCTATTCCCTCAGTTTTAAACAAGTTTGCACAAATGGCTACCATTATCTATTACGGATAGTTCGCTAGGGATGAACACTAGCTCATCTTTATTTATAATGTCGTATTTTTAGTAACATAGTATAACTGTTTTCAGGCGTAAAGTCACATGACATGTTCCCCATCTATAATTCCAATATATGACAATAGAAGATCTCACAAGGTCTTTATTTCAGTGATTTTATTGAAGAATTTCTTAATCTGCACCGTCACAAGAACTGACAGTGAAAAGGCTGTTTTAAACTACACTGTCCATAAGGCTACAGGTATCAGTAGTTCTTGGTAAATAATATTTGTGACCATATACTGTAGGCGTGACTCATGAGACTAAACAATATTCCACAATACTATAAATCATACAAACCAGGCTAGTATGTTGACTTTGCTGCTCCTATGATACTCGAGATGATAGTACCCATATAAATAATAACTTGGTAACTAATCATGCCTCGGTAGGGTTAAGGCAGCCCAGGATTTTTATAAGTAGTATTCCATGCATATGTCCGTAACTTTCGATAGCCTGGTCGCAGAACAACAAAACTTCACACAGAAGTACTTGAAATACGTCGAGTAAAGTTTATTCTAGTTTTCCTACTGCTGGATTTTGGGTTAGAATGAAACATTTCGGTTAAAAAAAAGCTGTTTATTTCATGCGTTTACGCTCAAGCGGAAACAACACTTTTCGTCATGATATTTTACAAGATAGCCAACCCCCTGCAAATGTAATTTTTGTCCGAGGCTATTTTGTTTAAAAAGACAACAGAAACTGAGATATTTTCTGGTCATTTTTGGTTAAAAATTTGCCGCAATTAAAACACATTACCATAACTGCAAAATAGCCTCGGATAATTTTGATAAGAAAGCAATAATAGGTAATAATTTATTACTCTATTAAAAGATCAATTCTGTAGATTTGAGCCGGGCGTAAAGTCGTAAAATTCATAATCCGTGAATAAAGTGCGTGACAATAGGTATTTCAGGGGAAACATACAAATGACCGCCGGTGACCCCGAATTCGAACACGCGTTCTGTTCGAATGACGTCAGATCGAACACGGTGGAACATGATTCGGGTTCGAAAAATGCCCGGAGCCATCGTGCAGACATACGCCCGAACTCGAACATGAAAACCGACCTGGGCTGCCTTAATCTAACAGAGGTCTTTATGCCCCATGAATTGTTTTCATCTATCAGTACATTGGAATAAGCGAACTGAAAGACAGTTACAAGAAAGCAAATGTACTTAGTAGCATTTAGAACTGTAGAAGGCTGTCGCTTTGTTTTGTGTGCCGTCCTCCTCTGTCACCTCTTGCCACGTGTGTTGGGTAACCCACTGACCGAAGGCTCGTATGCTAGAGTCCTTCATCGACCGAGTCTTTCGTTTCATGGATCTGTAGTTGATTGCCCGGTACTTTGATTTCAATAGCACAATGTTGTGGTCGCTGCGACCCAGGGGCGAAGTTGCAGAGGGAGGGTTGTAAAACTTAGCGAGATTTGTGATTATAAGATCCAGAGTAATATTTAGTCTAGTGGGAACATTCACAATTTGCTGGAGGCAAT